TGTGAGAGGCAGTGATTCTCTCTTGAGAGCTGGCGGATAGCAGTTAGCTCTGTGGTTTTGTCCAACTTCCCCCTTCTTTTATACCCTTGATGACATACCAATATTTCTTACAATAGGACTGGTCCTATGTTGTCAAAACCATCAGATTTAAATTTAATTGGTTTTTTGGTATCTAAGAGCCTGATTCACATTGATTGGCTAAAGTCAAAGCTTGTTGTCTTGATAAAAACTGCTGCTTGGCCTACTAACTGTACGGCCTTTCAATACAAATGTTTCAAGTCGGACACTCTGTGTACTTGCAAACTTTCAAGCTGCTGCTCTAGACATCCATTTTAAATCTCTATGCACAGAAAAGACACATGATCTTTTAAAGGGACCATGCAATGTTTTCCCCCCTAGCATTTTGCAACCACCAAATTCTAACTTACTGCCTCCCAATCCACAAATATTCTACCAAACTTTGCAACATAATCTCGTCCAGCATTTGGCCCATATTCCTCTAACCCCTTTCTATTTGTATACCCATCCAGATGCCTTTTAAATGCTGTAATTGTACCAGCCTCCACCACTTCCTCCGGCAGTCGTTCCATACACGCACCACCGTCTGTGTGGAAAAAGATTCCCCTTTTAAATCTTTCCCCTCTCGCCTTAAACCTCCAGTTTTGGATTCCCCTATCCTGGGGAAAAAACCATTGGCTATTCACTCTATCCATGCCCCTCATGATTTTAAAAACCCCTATAAGGTCACCCCCTCAGCCTCCGACACTCCAGGGAAAATAGCTCCAGCCTATTCTGTCTCTCCCTGTAGTGTCTCCCGATCCCTTTTAATAATATGGTGACCAGAACTGCAAAGCACTGTTTGTGATTTATCCAAGGTCCATCCTTCCTGCAGTAAGTTAGTGAGTTCGGTGTTGTCATGGGTCGGTCTGAGTACATGGGGTCTCTACACATTTAATGTGTAAGGATGGTGTGTATTAATTAATTCGCGAGAAGTGCGTATTTCCCTGATCTTGAATGGGAGCCACTAACAATCATTGTTCAGCTGTTCATAACTTTGCCACTGAAGGGCGCTGTAACTTCTCGAAACTAATATGGCAAAAAGCAACATCCTGACGAGACTCTCATGTTAAAACTTGCTCAAACACTAGCAGTCCTTCTCAAGAAACCGCTGGACCCTCAGGTCTCTGTCTTCCTCCTCTCGGACCATGAATCCTCTTCCAAAGGCAGGTATTGCTCTACCCAGACTGTGGGAGATGTTTGTGTCTGTGTCACTGTGTGTGTTAACTGCCATGCACCAGCTTACCCCAAACTTGCCAAACCTTTCCTTTCAGTCACTGTCCCCCCCAACTTTGCGACATAAGTCATAGGGGCAGAAATAGGCCATTCAGCCCATCAAATCCGCTCCACCATTCATTGAGATCATGGCTGATCTGCTAATGCTGAACTCCACTTCCTTGCGTTTTCCCTTGATCCCCATCCTGACTAAAAATCTACCTCTGCCTTGAATAGAATTCACGACCCAGCCCCGACATCCCTCTGCGGTAAAGAATTCCACAGATTCACTCCCCTCGGAGAGAGAGAAGAAATTCCTCCTCATCCCTGTCTTCAATGGGGCCACCCCTTACTCTCAGATTGCACCCACTGGTCCTAGACTCAACCACTAGGGGAAACACCCTCCCTGTACGTTCCCTGTCAAGTCCCTCTAAGAAGGCTGTTCTATGTTAGTATGAAGAGGACGTTGACTCAAATGCAAATATGCCAGGAATTTGCACATCACTCCGTTGGAACACTCAATTCTGTGAAGGACACTTCAGGAAGAAAATTACAGTCTTGGAGAGATTGCAGAATTATCCAAGGCGACACTATGGTTGAGGGAGTTGAGCTATGTGGCAAGTTCCTGGCATGTTGGCGAAGGGCATCAGCTGCATTACACATGACTCCAATACCACGGCAATGTGGTTGACTCTTAACTGCCCTCAGAAAAGGCGACGCCACCCAGTTCCAACGCTAGCCTCCCGGCAACGCCCGCGATCCCCCCCACCCCCAGAAAGGATAAAAAGGCGAGTCTATCACAGTTTTCGTCAGTGGGGGGGAGCATCTCGGAGACAGCGAGCATTGTATCGCGAGGTCCTGGTGGGGATGGAAACGAAGATAAAGAACAAAATGCGTGAGAAGGCAAGAAAGCTAATCAGCGAAGCAAAGTGAAGCTACGAGAAAAGACTGGCAGCCAACATGAAGGGTTGCTTCAATGTCCTTTGTAGGCATATAAGTAGCAAAAGGGTATAAGAAGGAGTAGGACCAATTAAAGACCAGAAAGGGGTTTCACACATAGAGTCAGCACAGAAACAGGCCCTTCGGTCCAACCGGTCCATGCTGACCATAATCCCAAACTAAACTAGTCCGCACCTGCCTGCTCCTGGCCCATATCCCTCCAAACCTTCCCTATTCATGTACTTATCCGAATATCTTTTAAATGTTGTAACTGTTACCACATCCACCACTTCCTCTGGAGGTTCATTCCACACACGAACCACCCTCTTGTGTAAATAGTCTGCTCTTTGTGTCTTTTTAAAATCTCTCTCCTCTCACCTTAAAAATGTGCCCCTAGTCTTGAAATCCCCCATCCTAGGGAAAAGACACCTACCATTAACTCTATCTATACCCCTCATGATTTTATAAACTTCTATAAGGTCGCCTCTCAACCTCCTACACTCCAGTGAACAATGTCCCAGCCTATCCAGTCTTTCTTCATAACTCAAACCTTCCATACCCGGTAAATCTCTTCCAAACCCTCTCCAGCTTAATAATATCCTTCCTGTAACAGGGCGACCAGAACTGGACACGGTGCTCCAGAAGGGGCCTCACCAATGTCCTGTAGAACCTCAATATGACGTCCCCAACTCCTATACTCATAGGACTGAGCAATGAAGGCTGAACGCCTTCTTAACCACCCTGTCTACATGTGATGCAAACTTCAAAGAACTATGTACCTGAACCTCTAGGTCTCTCTGTTCTACAGCACTGCCCAAGGACACTACCATCATGGGCTGTGGCGTTAAATGAATACTTTACTTCAGTCTTTAACAAAGAGAGAGATGCTGCCCAGGCCAATATGATAGAGGAGGGAACCCCTGTGTCAATGGGGGTCCGCATCTGAAGATTTTCAAGGAAGTGAGGGTAGAAATCGCAAGGAACTGACTGCAATCTTGCCGGCTTCGTTAGATTCAGTATGTGGGGGGTGCCAGGAGACTGGAGAGATTGTAAACAGCACAGCCTCGTTCGAGGCTGGAACTTGAAACTTTGGTGGCAGGACAGCTTCTAGAAACAATTCGGGAGGCGCGTGGAAAAACAGTGGGTCGGTTAGGAAGGGCCAGCGTGGATTTCTGAAGGGGATGTTGTGTCGAACAAACTGGATGCAGTTTTGTTTTTTTTTGAAGAGAGAGTGGGAAGGGTCAATGAGATTGATGCTGTTGAAGTGGACATGGATTTGCAGAAGGTGTTCCATACGGTTCCACACAACAGACTTGTAAGGAGCATTACACATCACGGAATAAAAGGGACTGTAGCAACATTTAGTGCATGCAGTTGTGGATGCCCCACGTTACAGGAAGGATGTGAATGCATTGGAGAGAGGGTGCAGGAGCGATTTACGAGAACGGTTCCCAGGATGAGAAACGTCAGCGATGAGGATAGATTGAAGAGGTTGGGACTGTTCTCCTCGGAGAGAAGAGCGGGATCTGATAGAGATTTTTCAAAATCAGTTGCAGGGGCTGGACAGAGAGAGGGAGAAGCTGTTCCTGTTTGTAGAAG